CATCGCCCCGCATCAGGTCATATCAATTTACATTCAATATAATCCATTCACACGCCATTTTTGCCTTTCTCACACGGCGCAGCTGTGTGCGCAACATGGCCATGTCAATCGCCAAGCCGCGCAACATGGAATCACGGGTGCCTCTCAGCACCTGAATGCGGAAGCGGAGCATGAACCACAACAGGTTTGCGACCTCCCTGTAGCCATTTTCGCACTTCCACCTTTGTCTTACCCCTTCTTTTCAGCTCGCTTATCGCTCTCTCACGACGATTGAAAGCCGCCATGGCGTCCATAACCGAAGGCGACATGCCCTGACGAAGAGGGGGACCTTTTTTCATCGCACACAAGTCGCCGTGCTTATGCAAGAGAGCCTGCAGTTCTCCATCCCTTTGGTGAGCATTAGCAAGAGTCCCATCTCCATTCGATATAAAGAAATGGGCAGCAAATCTGCCCTCAGCCTTGGCAATCTTTCCCTGGAGAATTTCATATGCCACGAGCGGCATTGGTTTGTTCTTCTCCTTCTTCACCCGGTTCAGTTCGAAGCCACGCCATGTCATATCCCAGGCAGCTGCCAAACCCTTAAGGGTTACAAGCTTGTAAGCCATACTCTCAAACTCCACAAAGGCACTCTCCACCAGCAGATCCGGCAGCTCCTCAGTGTCAGCACTGCGAAAAAGAGACTCTCGACCTTCCGTCGCCAATCTATACAGGATTTCATCCTTGGCCTGAGCTGCCTCCCATTCACTGATCACAAACTCCCGCAAGTCCTTCGCCCTTTTCCAAGGGACGCCATACATGACTTCCCCATGTTCCAGGGTGACTTGTGGTTCCACACCTGGCTCCTGACTGCGAGCGTACATGAAGTCGCCGAGTTCTTCGAACAAAGCTTCCACATCATGCGCCAAAGGGAGCTTGCATAACTCCCTCCATTGTGCGATCTTATCCTCGCACCTTCCCACGTTGTTGGGGGAGTCATGGCTGGCCATCCTAAGCTTGGGGATAGCTCAGGAGCCCTTTCACACGCTGGCACTCCATTCTAGCGATCACATATGGCATCAAAGTGGCATATGTGCAGGTTCCTGTCTTGTAGCATCAACGTCTCAGTACATGCCCAAAATGGACATTCTCGGGTTCTACAGACAGGCCCTAATCTCTGGATATATGTGACATGCACATGTCATTTTTCCCTACACAACATGCCTTACATATCACTTATTTTAGGGGCCATTTTCTGTAAAGCCACTGTAACTGGGTCCCTAGAGCCCGGGTTGAGCTGTGATTTGAGAATTCTATCAATTCTGAAACTGCCCTAAGAAGCCTAAATCTGGTATGTATGTACTGCAATTTGATCACTGAGTGTGATAAAATCATCACATCAGTCATCCAACTTCACATAGCAGAGATAGTTGACTTGGCGGACGTTCTGCGAAGTTGCAGACATCCTGGTCACATCACACTGTCCCAAACTATATACGAACCCTGTGGCGCCCGATCCACACCCGATACTACCTGATTCTGCCACTCCTGGCACCCGTGCATAACGTTTCTGGTATACCGTCGTTGCTGAGACTGGCCCTGTCGCTGTCCTGTGAGCTGCGTGTCGAGACCTTGAACGTTGAGTGTCCTTGCTGTAGATTTCTGGGGTCATTCTTTGGTGCTTCTGATCCATTCTGGTCGTCACGGGGAGCCAGCTGTGCGTCCGATGAATAATCTATTATGTTCCATAATGTGTTGTCATTATTGGCGACCCGAACAAACAATCATGTGATTTTGAACTTCGACCCAATAAAGTAATGGCAACAAACTCGTGAAAATAGTCACCAATAATCAGATTTTCCAGCCATGAATCTGGCAAACTTGGTGAAGTTTGGAATTCAATTGGCGCAACAATCGTTTTGCTCACATCTCAACTTTGTTTTCATTTGTTCGTTATTTTGTCTTTCTTGTTGTTGACATCACGATATTGGGTCTGCAACCCCAAACCAGCTACCAGAGAGCCCAACAAATTGAGGGCGTTCCTGATACGCAGACACCAGACTGGTACCGAGACCGGTACTGAGACCAGTACTTTAACCCTCAAAATCCAAAAAGCTAAAACCCGGTAAAACCCCTAAAACCCTAACCCTGAAACAAACCTAGCAAGGCCGATCCCAGTACCGGTCTTCGTCCCTGTACCTGTACCAGTCTCGGTGCCATTCTCGGTTCTGGTCCAATATCTCTGCGTATTGGGAACACTGCGGACATATTCAGCAACACCGCAAACACTGTGCAGCACCGACGGCAACACTCTGAAGTCGCGGAATCCATCGTGGCGGATCGGGACGCCATCAGGGTGGGCGGTCCGGACACGGACCTGCAGGAGGCCGTGGGGGAGAACGTGGTGGTGATTGCCAAGTACAGGGCCCGGGTGGCCAGCCTGGAGCAGGAGATCAAGCGTGCCAGCGGTCTGCCCACGGACGTGACGTCCATACAGAAGGTGGCCGTGCAGGTGGAGGACTCGCGGTCGATTGGGGGGGTGGCCGCCGGCGCTGAGCGGGCGCCAATCGGGGACGCGGGCCCTGAGGGCGCCGCGGGCGGGTCCCCGGACGACAAAGTCGAACGTGGAATGTGGCTTTGAGGTCGCGGCGGTGGGGTTTCGCGAGGCATCGTGATTGCAGGGCTGCGTTGGGGATATGTTGGAGCTTATGGCCTCCGGTTAGTGTTTGGATCCGCTATGGTTGCGCGCGTGGCCCGTGTCGGCCGAGCTGTCTGCAGAGTCCCCGCCCGGCAGCTGTGGACGTCAGAATGGGGACATCGCCGAAGCACATGCTGAACTGGGGTCTGACTGGAGCAAAGCTGAATGGAGGCGATCACCAGAGCATCTGAGCGCTGAAAGGTGGTCCGTCAGTGGCTTGGACGGGAGGACAGGAATTGTGTGTGCGCTGCTGTGCCTCAGGTGTGTTGGGGGGAACGTGGTGCCCGTCTTGCTTGTGTTCTCCCAACGAAGCTTGAAGCAGCAGCAGGCTTGCTCTTGAATGATGCAGCACCATCCAAGGGTGCAGTGTTTCAGAGGCAACGGGGCGTGGGCCGGACGCCGTGGCCGCTTGTATGCTGGGTTAACGTGCCACTCTGCTGCAAGACAATGTCCAAGCAGGTTTGCCCAACTTGGCCTGCTGCGTCAGTGTGACTTCTTGCCGGACGTGTCCAGTCAGGTGGTAAGCTGGGGCAGAATCTGCTCAAAAGCTGCGAATCTGGGAGCATTGTGTCAAGCTGTGCTGGGTAAAGCTTGAGATCTGTTCAGTAAGCAGGACACTGCGAATTCATATTGGCATTCTGAACGCATGGACTGGTATGTGGCTGAAGCATGGAGCATGGTGGTTGTGAAGTGTCCTAGCACGCAGGTGTGCACATTATCTTTGGACTTGCTTGAGTGCTCTGTAGAGAGATGGAACAGTTCTGGTGGAGGACACAGGGGTGCTGCCAATACAGACCGAGTGCGCTTAAGGGGCTGTCAAAGCCACCATTTTTGTGCTGGCATGGAAGCATTACCTGCCCAACAGGCAGTCAGGGGTATGCGAGATATGGCCATCATTAGATGCGAATATATTATAGAGGTATACGAATATCCAGCACCAAAGTGCCAGTAGGCATGTTAACGACAGCACAGTTCTTGGAATTTGCTGGTGGCAGCTTTGCCTAACATTTTCAATGCGCGGGCATGTATTGGAGGTGACCATTCCATTGTTCAGCTTCTCAAGATTGGGCTATTGGCTTGAGAAACCAGCAGCATGAAGCAAATGGGGTCTTTGCGTGACCCAAACTGCATCGCCATCCATCACATTTGGTCCAGGTGAATTGAGAACGCAATCTGGTAGGGACATGTGTGGGCCCATTGGAGACTTGGAAGGAAAAACTCCATCTTTGCTATAGTGGTGGTTCAGTACAAGGTGAGTGGGTGGGGGCTGCACATAGCCTGTCCAACATGCTGTAACAACATGCGAGCAAGAAGGGAGCTACTACCCAGGCAGATCTCTATGAGAGCAATTCGTGTATCCATTGTGCTGGTGGCTCGTATCTGGGTGCTGCTTACAACGTGCCAGCTTCGCATGGAGACGGCCTTCCTCACATGCATACACAAGCTAGCAAAACTGCAATGCAATTGACAGACCCAACAAAATCCACCACTGCGCTGCTTTACAGCGGCCAAATGCCACTCCCTCGCCCATTCCGGCATCCTGTAATACAAGTCATTTTATGGGTGCGCTCGCGCAACACTCAAAGAATCAGGTGCCCAACTGCACTCACACAAAATGTTGCCACGCCTCTCCCCCACGCGACACCACCCCATTGATGCAACTCGTCTGCGCCGGAGCATCGCACCATCGCCATGGCACGCTCTTTATGCACCCTGCCCCTGCTGGCCCATGACACACCACTGTGTCTCGCCAACAGACACCTCCAAAGCCTAGCTACGCCGCCCCTGCTGCAGAACCCCAACGTCACGGCTAAGCATACATGGTCCAGACTGGTGTACAAGCCGCTGCCCACACCTGAGCACACATCCTCCGACCCATGTTCCAACCCGAATCTCCTTATTGACCACCTCGACGTGTCAACAGTCTTAGCACCATTGGGCACAAATGTCGTAGAGGGGCTTGAAAATTTTCAACTGGACAGCCGCAAGGTTGTTGATGGCTGGCCCCAACGATTCACAAATACAAAGACAAACACACCCACGCACTTCCTACACACCCTTCGTGGGGGGGCTGGAGTCCTGCCTCAGGGTGTTGACTTTCCGCACACTGCATTGCTGGTGGGCAGTGTGCCTGGGGCAGCGTGTCGCTCTAAAGTGTATATGCACACGACACTGCCTTATGGACTGGCCTGGCAATGCACGCCACTCAAACCGATCTTTATCTCTGGGATCCACGGCATGGTTCCAAGCCGACCACGGCCTCAGATTGCTAGGCTAGCTAAGGTTATAGGACACCAATGTACTCCCCCCAACGTGGTGGACAAAATCAACCAAATACTCGTTTGCTGTGGCTGATGTGGATGCTGGCGGACACTGCAGGCGCAGTGAGACCGGCCCTCCAGTTCCCGTCCGTCAGCAGTCTGCGGGGTATGAGCATGACGTCCCGGAAACTCACCCCCCGATAGGCCACCGTCATCACGACGTCTGAATCACAGTTCACCGCGAACTGGACCACGAGTTCGCCCACCAGGATCGAGTGGTGGCGGATCGGCGAGTTTGAGGAGGACGACTCTGACACATGCAAGAGGACGTCATCGAGGCCCTCCTGCAGCTTGCGTGCGCCCTCGACCATTAGTTCCACCAGGCCGCCGTAGCCCAGCTTCAGGCCATCCGTTTCGATAGCGTACAGCAGGCAGATGGTGAGGGCCCCAGGCAGGAAGATGGTGTGGTGGTCGTCATCGTCCAGCTGTACCTTTTCGCTGTTTTCGTCAACCTCACTGATGGGCGTCAGCTGCACGATGGTACCCTTCATGTTCGCCTGATAGAAGCAAGCCACCAGCCACTAGTGAGTCACTGACTGTGAATTGCACTTGTCAGAACTTTCAAAAGAACAGCACCATCCTCACACTTTTCAGCTCTGTTCTGTTTTCGGCCACAGAACAGAATGTCTTCCTGACAAATGATGTGAAACATCCCCACTGAACTTCCATTTCCACTCCACATTCAACGTCTCCTCAGTCAATATCATTGCGAAGGAGAGGGGGTTGTGGATTGATATGGATGGCCTTGTCAGAGCTTTTGAATCAAAAGTTCAGCACCATCCTCACACTTTTCAGTTCTGGTCTGTTTTCGGCCACAGAACAGAATGTCTTCCTGACAAATGATGACAAACATCCCCACCGAAATTCCATTTCCACTCCATATTCATAGTCTCCTCAGTCAATGTCATTGCGAAGGAGAGAGGGTTGCAGATTGATATGGATGGCCAATGAACTAAGAGTCTGCTACAAATCCAAACATGGAGTTGTGGAGTTGGAGTTGGGTAATTCAGTGCACTGAGTGAGCAATGCATCCCATGGTAAACGGTTGCTACATTTGTACTTTGGGACCTGGTGGGGGCAACGGGGCAGTCTCTTTCTGAGTATGCTTGAGCACAAACAGTTGACTCTAAATGAAGTCAATCATTGCCAAAATGAACAACATCTGCAGCCAGGGGAAGCGCTGTGTGCACAGTTCATTTTGCATATTTGCCCCTTTTCAAGGGGTGCGTACAGGGCTGCTGCATTCTGCATGAATCTGGACTCACTTGCACAATACTTTATGCAGCTGCTTCCATTCAGTTGGATGACACTGCACAAAACAAGCTGCGAAACAGGGCATTGAGCACACATCTGTATATGTTGGAGCCAGCACATGGACTCCTCATAAGGGACCTTCAACATCCTTTTTCGAACGTTGGCTGCACTATGAAATCTGAGGAGTATGCTTCCTGCATAGAAACTTCTAGTGTTGTGAGCCTCTCCTGTAGTATGTGACTTTTGATTATCTGCTACAGCATGGCACAGTGCAGCATCGTTTTGGGTGCCCTGTCCACGAGCTATTTCTTTTTTACATGGTAGTCTTTGGTAGTGTACAAGGCCATACTGCCTTGCACGCTCTGCAATTTGCACTCGAACAACTCAGAAGCCATCACAAGTTAGATGTTTGTGCACCTGCCGTCGCTTCAAGGTGCAAGGCAGTTGCTTCAAATGGGTTTTGGTACAGCTAATTAACTGAATTGCCAGCAAGCTACCACCAGTATGTGCATTACCAAGCTCCAAGAGCACGAGTCTTCACATGAAATCGAACCTTGTGAATCCCATTCAACATCTTCGATGAAATGGTCTGAAGCCCCTTCCACGCCTTTCCCTTCCTGGCGTTCGTCCAGTGCCATGTGTGGGGCAACTGCACAATGTCCCTAGTGTGTGCACCGTCCCCAACCACATGCAGTGTCGCACCAGGGGGAATGCTGTCAACCAGGACATCCTTAACAGCACTTCGCAGGTCTGCCTGTGTGAAGTTGGAAGAATCTGTGTCGCACGGCACAGGTGCAGTCAGGGCCACGTTGCTACACTTCCACAGCACATAGACAACAACTATAGACATCAACTGCCCAAAAAATTGCTGCGATACAGTTTACCAGCTTTCAACAATGCTGAAAGCCAAGATGGACTTCTTTTGTTGCACCACAATGAAAGATAAGATTCAAACACTGGAACAATGCATTGCAACAAGGATGGGCATTGCTGGACCAGTCTGGCAGCCATGGATCCAGGCTACCACTTAGAGGTTAGGGACCCTTTGTGTGTACAGGATGCTTGTGTACATGTCCAGCTGGGTTGCAAGAGCAGGACACTTGGTGGAAAGGGCACAAAGGTAAGTGCCACGTTCTGATGCCCAAAGATGCTCATAATACTGACCCCGTTGCTGGCACACATCCCTTTGGAGTCTTCACTATCACATGACAACAGCCACACAAAGTCCAGGTGATGAGTACATCTTCACAGCTTGAACAGACTCTGCTTGAAACTTCAGCACTGCCCCAAGTCACACTCTGTTGCCTTCTTTCTCTCCTCACAAAAACGTATTGGCCTGGAGTGGGTGCACACAGCTGGCCATGGTTGACAGC